ACAGCCTGCTGTGATCCATAGCGGCTACAACAACAACAACAACAACAACAACAACAACAACAACAACAACAACAACAACAACAACAACAGCAGCAGCAGCAACAACAACAACAGCAACAACACACACGACGACCACCATAACGATTACGATGTCGATAACAATGACGACGACACCACCACCAGCACCGCCACCACCACCACGACTACAACCACACCAACTACAACCACAACGACAACGACAACAACAAAGACAACGACAACGACAACGACGTCTTTCACTACCGGACCCTCAAAAGCAAACCCCGGTTCTCGAGCCGAGAATGGGGGGGGATGCTCTAGACCCCCCCCCCACCGTCCCGCCACCCCCCAAGCAAACCCAGTGCTCGAGCCGAGAATTGGGATTTGCTGCCTTGTGCGATTTTCTGTACCCAGCCACTCCCAAAAGCAAACCCCGGTTCTCGCCCCGAATCCCCAACACCGTTCCCCAAACTACCCACGGATTTTACGAAGTCGCACTCGTTCGCACCCGAATCCCAGACACCGTTCCCCGAACTACCCACGGATTCCGAAGTTCACGGAACCGGAGGTGCGACCGGGTGCAAATTCGAGGTTGCACCCGTTCGCACCCGAGTCCCATGCACCTTTCCTCGAACTACGGACGGATTCCGAATTTCGTGGAGCTGGAGGTGCGGCCAGGGGCAACCTCGCATTTTACGAGCTCGCACCCGTTCGCACCCGAATCCCAGACACCGCTCCGCAAACTAATGGCGGATTCCTGGACTTGGACCACTTCTCTCCGGCTTCAGTTCCCCCAACTACTGCTGCACTAGGGAACGCCGCCCAAACCTTTTGCCCCAACTACTGACGGATGCCGACAGGCAGTCCTTAGCCAAAGCACTTACAAATCCTCGCAAAAACCAAGCCGTTGCAAACTTTTCGGAATGATATGATCCCACGAAAACCACAATGATGCTCGATGAGGGGTCCCAAATCCGTCACCCCGGCTAACCCTGAAACGCACAACGAAGGCCTTGACTAGGTAGCCAAGTCAAGGACCTTTACGAGGGAAAATACGCATCGGGCCACGAAAGGTTCCCAAATCCGGAAGAGCAGATACTGGCCAAAGTGCAAGATCCCTCGCAAAACACAGAATAACTTCCATGTCGCCTTCAACAGCCCTTCCCAGACGAACCCAATGATGCTCGAGGAGGGTTGCCCAAAATTGGCATTTTGTACGGAAGCATTCAGACGAATACCCAATAGGCAAATCGCGAAGAGAACATACGGGCCGAAGTGTTGAAACCATCGAAACGCACGTGGTTTGCTGAAAAATACAAAGCGAAAAAAACAACGATGCTCGATGAAGGTTGCCAAAATCTGAAAATCGCTAAAACACACGAAGTCCACTTTGCCTCGGTTTGTCGCATGCAGGCGCCTCATCCCCTTGCAATGCTACCTCCAGCCTAAACCAATGATGCTCGAGAAGAGTTGCGAATTTCGAGCTGTCCAGAGCAGACCAAATCGATACTATCATCGATACAATTCGACGAAGACGTCCACAGCATCTATAGTGCAAAACACTGCACAAACCTGCGCCAATTAGCCCGGTATTTACCTCGAGATTATGATATCACGGCTTACGGCTTGCAGTGACGTCTCATACAACATCTATTGGACTGTTGTAAAACAGAACACGCTAAGCGGTTTAGAGGAAGCCTGTGGGTGTGAAGGCTTGGGAGCTTAATTCTTTGTAGGCCTTAAACAATTAGATCTTAAGTGTAGAAGCATGTGGGGGGTATCCCGTCAGGATCTGGCCGTCGAGGCAAATGCAAAGCCCCATACATATTATTACACACACATAAATATGTGTATATATATATATATATATATACACATGAACATGTAACTACACATTCCATATTTTGTAGTGTATGTATATGTTTGTGTATATATATATATAGACATAGAGAAAGGGGTTTAGGGCTGTCGCAATACCTTAGTCCGCAAAGGCAGGCTTTAAGCCAGAAAATTGGTGGCAGATAAAAAGAGCGGTGCAGCGAGGGCCTTTGTTTGGGGCACTACGTACTTACACACATACCAGCATACATGCGTATATATATATATATATGTACACACACACACGCATATATGTGTACGTACATACATACATACATACATACATATGCATAAAGGTATATTGTATATACATATATATATATACACACATATACACACATGCTTATACATACATGCGATGTATACGTATGTGTAGATATATATATTTATACACACAAGCTTAAGCATATTGTTCAAGGCTTTTGGTTTTTTGATGGCATTAAGTGTTTGTCCGTAATCAGTTTCGATGTAGCCCGGAGTCATCCTCGAATCATGAGTGTGCCCTCGAATTAAGCTGATTTTGACTTGGGCCGTGCAACCTTCGAAATGGGACGTAATTTTGCGAGAGGACGGACTTCTGGCAGATGCAGCAAGCACGCAAAGCGTGAGCTGGGAGCCCACCACGCGTGTGCAGACCCCAGCGAGAGCGGAGATGTAGCTTTAGGCGAGGGCTGGCTGGGCTGAAACCTAGAAAGTTTCAAAATGTCAGCATCAGCGTGTGAAGCTGGAACAAGACAGCAGAAAAAACCACAGTCGTCGCTCTTGTACTTTGGATTTCGCTACAGTTTCGTGTCTTCAGGTCCCACCTTTACAAGTCATCTAATGCCTCGGGCTTTTGCGAGATTTGCAATAAGGATGTCCACAGGCTGCCCTAAACCAGTCATCGACGAGGCCATTCGCGAAAGTTTTCGTGTGAAGGGAACGTCGTGCAATCTATGTTTGCAGGTTAATGCCCGGCTAGCGCGGTCAATGCTGTAAAGGCGAAGCAAAGGTCTTCGCCGCCGAACGCTGCGGCCATTGTTGGCGAGAAAGTTTAAGGCTAAGGTTCTAAAGGGGCTTACGATGTGATTGGATTTTTGATGCATGCCGTATTCCAACGGTTCAGCGTTGGCTTCGCTACCACCGCACATCACGCCCTCGGTCCCCTAAATTCCCGCACCACTTCAGGAGCCCTCTTGGTTTGTGCTGATGCTTCGCTTCAGCCTGAACCCTGAACTCAACAATAGTAGAGGGGCCTAAATAATTGCCAATATGATTGTGGGATTCCTTAATCCAATTATTCTAAGTATTAAGGCCCCTGTAGTAGGCCATGCGATTTGGTTCGGCTCTTTCTGCTTTTTGTCAGGGGCTCGCAGTCCAAGGGTTTAGGGCCGCCCGAAATCGGAAGTTGCAGAGAGCAAATGGCAAAGCCAACGAGGGCTCCCTGCCAGTCCAGAGTCTGTGGGCTTCCGATTACAGTGCTTCTGACTACAGTACCACCTGGTACTTAAAGGGGACGATTATGAAATAAAAGTCTATACTTTTTCTCCCTGGCCGCTTCAAATCCCAGGTCTTTTGGCTTTAGGTTCTATCAGGGTTTAGGGCTATTTCATCAACTCATTCGCCAAGCCACGTCTACCAAAGAAAAAGCAGACAATCGATCAACTCCAAGCAGCAAGCTCTAAAGCCTCCAACAATACCAGACACTAGAGCCGGAACTAGTCCTTTGCCATTAGATGCCGGTGTCCAGGATCTTCTTGGGACTGAAATAGCATCATGCTCTTGGGCTGCACGACAATGCAGCTCATGGTATTCAAGTCTTCGTTGGGCTTGACATTGTCTCATTTGTTTTCTCTCTCCCTCTCTCTCTCTCTCTCTCTCTCTCTCTCTCTCCCTCTCTCTCACTCACTCACTCACTCACTCACTCACTCTCTCTCTCTCTCTCTCACTCTCTCACTCTCTGTCTCTCTCGCTCGTTCGCTCCCTTTTTCGTCTGTCTCGATACAACAAGCCATACCTAGACACCTCTGCTATGGATATATGGGGTCTTTGGTCAGTCTCCCGCTCTTCTTGCGGATCATGGCTGCATCACTGCCTATACCCCCACAATGCAACTGCCCGGAAGCTACGTGAGCATCGGAAACTCGCGCGTAGACGCCCCTAGGCCCGGATCGATTAGCGTCGGGCATCCAAGAGCAGCCACCGGAGTCGAAGATTTGCACTTGACCCTAGCTACGGGTTTAGGGGATTTTAGCGGTCGTTTTCGACTTCCATGCTCCGCGCCAATGCCTGCAGCCGTTTGCTCCGGAAGCAAAGCAACCTCCAACGTATCAAAGTCGCCGCTTCTAGACCAAGGCAGGCCTTCAGTCTAGATTGGGGCACAAACCTCAGAATCGAAGTACTTGGTTGGTGGGTGTGTGTGTGTTGGGCCAAGAAAGCTGCAAAAGTATACAGCCTTACAGGTATCCCCTAAACCCCATAAACCTTACACCCTAAACCCCTAATTATAAGCCCCAGAGTTATAGGCCTGAGGCCTTTTGAGGCCTCATCCCTCCGGGCCGATGTGAAGATGCGTGAGCGAGTCGTGGGTGCAATCGCATTGCCTGGAAGATTTGAGCCGCAGGCCCGAGTGGTTTAGGGAGTTTTGGGTTTCGGGGGTCAAGGGTTATTCAGGGTTTGGGGGAGTCTAGGGCCATTGGGCTTCAAGGTTTTTGCTACAGCCTTTTGATGACCCTATCCATGACTAGACTAGTAGAGTTGTCCGTTGTACGGTTCTGCAACGAGGGAACTTGGCTAGACTCTGTTTGGAGCTCATTAGACTTCCTCTCACGGTGATACTCGCCCCAAGGATTTAAGTACATAAAAAAATGAACTCTCCCAAATAGTAACCAACATAGCGATTGTCCGAAACCTCAGTACCTAAATATTGGCCACTTGGGACCGCTAGGGTTGTTACCTTGTAAATGAGGCTTCCTGTTCCTGCTCTGAGCGAGACTTCTTGTGGCGAAGAAGGCCGAAGTGCCCTATAAATGGGGGGATAAGCCATACTAGGGGACTTTACAACTCCACTACTTGTAACTGCCCTTGAACCTGAAAGTGCAGAACGCTCGAACCTCTTTGTGCAGGACATTCGCCACCTGGCCATCAATGCCGCGGGCACGCACCCTGGCCTTGATGTAAAGGCTGAGAAGGGCCTAAACAATAATGTATATATACATATATACGCATACATTTAGCTTCGGTACCAAATCATTACAAAACTTTGGATGTGTATAGTATACCATGTGTATAATATTTTGTTGTACTATATCGTTTTGTACTATATGACATGCTATGATTCATTATCATGGAAACATGCTATTCTATAATATTTTGTTAATGCTATGTTGTATTCGGTTATGGTATGTGTTCATGTTGCTTTGTTTTACTATGTACAGTATAACTCATTATGATGTATTATCTTGTTCTATGTTATATCATTTTAGATTGCATTGTATCATATAATTTTTGTACTATATCATGTTTGATTATGCTGTGTATGTATACATTTTTGTATGTAACACCAGTGTTGCTCCTACTGCAACCAGCAGCCTCAGCAAGTCGGTTTCGAAAGCGCCTTGCCACCAGTTGTAGTTAATGTCAGCATCCCTCCAAAAGATCGCTCCAGCTGGGGCGAAGCGCACGAAACTCAAACGCGGGGTGATGTGCGTAAAACATTTCGCTGTTGTTCGCTTGGCCGGGTGGGCATGCAAACCTCGGTGCTGTGCACTTTTTCGCTTCCATACTGAAAGCGTCAAGAGGTTAATCACCCCAACCCTGACGCTGTCACAGACCACGTGTCGAAGCATGTGCAGGTGACGAGGAGGATGGAGGAGCGCTTGGGGTGGCACTCCTTGTCGTCGTAGTCGCAGAAGCAGTGTCGTGGGAGGAGAGGGGAAGGGGGTGGAGCAGAAGGAGCCGTGTTACTGATCGAGGGAGCTCGAGGGTGTAATCACAACCATGACAACAAGAAAGCTGAAGGCCGAGAAGGTCAGACACTGAACTCTATAGTGCGTGTGCAAAAGCGTAGGTTCCGAAGTATCCAAATCTGGGGTCTGTAGGGCTTCAGGCTTTCACTTGGGGCACCTTAGCCGCTAGCCAAACAAGCGTAAGGGCTGTCTGAGTCTGTGTGTCCCCAAGACCCACGACAAGCAACCTCAGCCCTGCACCCCGCGATCTGGAGGCAACTGAAGGTTTTCACGAGAATCAGAGAATCAGCCCCGATTGTGTTATGCGTGCTCCCTGCCCGCGAACCCGCGCTCCTACCTCCGAACCCAACAAACAAACACACACACACACACACAGAGAAGCGACAACAGCAAAAATAGCCTCTGACACAGAGATCGGCTCCATGGCCCTGAAAGATACCTACGCCCATGCATGAAAGCCTCTTCGTAGCTCCCAAAAGCGAAGGTACGTTGCCGCCTCCTGCAACTCGGGCCAGGTCGGGGCCAAAAACCCTTCGGCCCTGGATGTGGAACCGAGAGGAGGGTGGTCCTTTAATGGGTTCTATAAGGGCTCTATAATATGCTAGGGCCAGGGAAGCTTTCAGGACTTGCAGGGTTTTGGAGTTTTACAGGGCACCAGGGTGTTCAGGAAACTAGAGTTCATGACTTAGACTGTGCGGTGTCATCTAATTATAATTAGGGCCTTAATGATACGAATTGGGTAACGAAATATATTCCAATATATGATTGTAACGAGGACTTCATGGTTTTCCCCTCCCTCCACCCCGCCCCCTCGGTTCTTCAAGTTGGCTTCCCTCATTCAAGGTGTTGAATCATGCGGCTAGGGCCTGTAGCCTTGCAGGGTGGATGTTCACGTCCCCATGTTGAAACTCCGTCTAGTTTGGGAGTTCGTAGTTTGCGAAGGGGGGGCACGGTCATCTGTTTTGTGGGTTGTACATAGACTGCTATCGGCTGCCATCGTGTTGAGTTTACGCGGCCGCAAGTAACAGGCTTTTTCTAGAATGCAAGACTGTGGTTCAATCAAGCACGTTGTTTAGGTAGGTAACGAATCAGCTGGTTCACAACTCACTAGAACTCATATATATATATATATATATGTGTGTGCCTTATGTTGCATTAGTTTTCTCTCGGTACCGCAAGGAGTAAGGAGTATACCGTATTTCACTGAAAATGGGCTCTCTGCAGAGGATTTAGGAATCTGGGATTGTAGTTCGGGCTTAGCGATGCAGGATCCACATGCGGGCCTTGCGTGTGTGTCTATAGGGTTCCTTAGTGAGTGTGTAAGTAGGCACAAGCCCTGAACCCCCCCGGACCCTCAATCCTTAACCACAAAAGAGACAAAATCCTACGTCTACGAATGTGACTTGCCAACAGTTTGAGGCTGCGGGTTGTGTCTGGTGCCAAATATACGCCAAACCCGCTCGAAATCGAGATGTTGCATGTGTCACCGAACTTCCCCAATCACTCGATAAAGTAACTTTTTCTACTTGGACGTCAGTCCCTTCAAACAGCATCTCACCCGGCAATGTGAACCCTAAGCCCTGGAATACAGACCAAGGTCTACATTTGGCGTGTTTCGAGGTCCTTGCGCAGGGGGGAGATTTGCTTGGACCCCTTCGCCCTTTCAGTTCCAGGCGCTGTAGGGCTCCGAATTCATAGGGTTTCGTCAGGTTTTGTACAGGGGTTTTGGGCCTGGGGTGTTTCGAATTTTTGGATTGTGGGCGTTTAGAACCAAGTGTTTTGTGGTCGTGGGAAGTGTTCTAGTTGTCGCTTTCCCGCAGCCACAAGCCGTGTGTGTCCCAGATCCCAGCGGGGGCGCTGCCATCATGTACGTCACATTAAATTACCCGTGACATTCGGTAGAGAGAACTACTTGGGAGCACGCGCATTGAGGGGCAAGGGAGCGCAGAAAGCAGCAGTTGGAGCCGAGAGAGACCACTTGAGGCTACTGGTAGGGCTTATAGGCCTTGGAGATGATATGAGATGATGAACTGCAGGTTTTGGTTCAAGGCATGGCTTCTTAAGACAGCTTCAAGCTCACCACCGAGCTTCAAAGAGCCCAAAATACAAGAGCCCGGGTGTCTGAAGACGGAATGAGGGGACACTTGGATCCCCCAAACCCTGACCTGGCTCCTGAAAACTTAAAGACCCAAGCAAACCATATTGTCCCTGAGCCCACCTGGACACTGAAGAACCGACCCATTTTTCAGGACCCACAAATGGAAATCAGAATAGGGGATCCATGAAAAAGGTAGGTTACCTGGGGTTCAGGTATGTAGGTGGGCAGATGCCAGCAGGTTGGCTCGGACCTCTGCCCGCGCTGGCGCTGGCCTTCGGCGATGCAACCGGGGTTGAGGTCCCAGTTGCCAAAAGGCTTTTTTGCAAAGTTTGAGTATGGGTGTGTAACCCGCAGGTCGTTGCCAGTGGTTCTTAGAATTGAAGGCGCCTGACATAGCGGTCCCGGTCCTCGCAGTAAGAACCCTTGTGTTTAGTCAGGAAGAAACCTACCTAGTTTAGGATTTTTCCTGGGTCCCGTTACTTCCGAAACTGAGGGTGAAAAGGTGCGGATCCAGGGTTCGAAACAGTTTGGGTTTAGGATTTATAGGGCCTTCAGGGGTCCAAATCCAAACGACTTGGGGTTTCAAAGAGCCTGCAGGGTTTGGAGCTATTGAGGTAGTTCAGCCTGGGCAGAAAGACTTTGTAGGGCGGATCTTTCATTCATACCCAGCCATGTGTATGTAAGAACGAGTCGGTTTGGGAGTATCGTGGCGTAGGGATTACTATAAAGAAGTGAAGGATCTTGGCGTGCCCGCGGGGTTGTTTTGAGCGCGTTGTTCGCTTGTTGACTCGGCTATACCTAGTGCATAGCACGGCTCACGTAGATCTTGTGTTCGTCATAGTTGGATCTGATAGACGATTGTTAAATCACAGGCTTTGCTCAGCACATACCAGAAATGGCTGAGGACGCGGCATCCCATTTCATAGCTGGGCTCTTTCAGAGTGCTTAGGTCGCCTGTCACCTAGGCACATTCAATGTACAAGGTTCAGGCTTCCTTCGGGGTCGGCTTCGAGTAAGGTGTCCAGTCCCCCAACGAGAAGATGGACCGGGCGGAGGGTAAGCCCCTTCTGAATCCCTAAAACCCCCCCAGAGAGCCAGGAGGTCCTTGGCGTCTCTGGCAGCGACATCTTGCTTTGCTTCCTCTCAGGGGAGTTGAGGCAAAAGGGAGAGTTTGAGTCTCAAAAACTCAAAGAGGCGCCCCGAAACCCTGAAAAAAGTCCAAGAATCCAGAACTTCCCTGTAGTCCTACGACCCAATCAAAGTCATTTCGGCAACATTCGCAACTAGTGACTCCGAGACATGAACGCGAAGAAGGACTGCTGCCACTGCTGCAGCCGATGCTATATGGTGTACTTGTGCTACAGTATGTGATGACAGCGTTGTGTCGGAGAAGTTGCAAGTACAAGGCCTTCTGAACCTCAACAGCCCAACGGCGTACAGGCCTGTCCAATCCGTTCGTTCGGCAGTGTGCCCGCATCACGAAGCTTACACTTGGGGTCTGGGGTCCAGGGTTTCGGATTTAGTCTGGCCTACAAAGGCATCTTCGGACCCCAGCAGACATTCAGGGTTTAGGGCCATCGAGGGTTTAGGGATGCAGTGTGCGGGGCATACCGCAGGTACCACGGGCAGGACCTGGCGCACTTGCCCACTGCCGCATGCAAGCCCTCAACACCTCATTGGCGTGTCCTAAAGCCTCAGACCGCTTGAGCCCGCTATCCCAAGAAGCTTACCAAACTCCCTGAGCTACCAAGAACAGGATCCCCATGCAGCTGGAAGCATGATTGCATATGTAATCTATATATATATATATATATATATATATATACACATAATGTAGTATATGTTGCATATAACTTATTACACATTACAGGCTCCTCGACCCCGGCGATGGCCGATGCGCCGGCACGGTGGTGGTGGAGGTCGGGGCGGTGGGGTTGGGTGTATGCAGTTGTTTGGAGTAGAAGCATTTCGGGTGCGTAGATGGCTTCCGAGTTTCGGAGGCAGGATTCAGAGTTGTAGGGGCTTTTTTGAGGTTTGGGGCTTTGGTCTTCACTGCAAACTGTGAGTGTTTCCTAGTGGGAAAAATGCACTGCAACATGCACCCAAACCCAATCTATTCTAGTTGTGTCCATAAAGCTCCTTAAAAAATCCCGGAGGGAGTGGAAACGGATGGTAGCTTGGGCTGGAGCTTTGCAGGATCAAAGGGCTTTGGAGGAGAGCGGCCTGGACATGCACATGAGCACTTGCGGGTGTAGGGCTACCCTAAACCAACACCTTAAACCGCACACCCCAAACCCGAACACGAGAGACTGCATGTCCAAATTCAGGGTCACGGGTACCTGAAGCCTACCTTCTCAAGGACCCATAATCTCAGGGTCCGTGGGGTCGGGGGCTGGGATGGGGATGCTGAGGAGCTTTAGCTTTGGATGTGTGCTGGCACCTTCAGTAGCCTAATCGCAAACCCAGACTAAGCCCCGCAAAATACGAATACCGTTTATATACAGTGAAAAATGCACTTATTACAAGAGCTTGATTGGGCTGTGGGATCTAGGCTTATACGATCCCCTGTCAACTAATTTTTCAGCATATTGAACAGGTCGTATTGATCCTAAGCCCGGAATCCGATCATACAGACTTCAGGCTGCAGAGCTGGCGCCTAGATCCATGGGGTTCTATCCAGATGCCCAAGCCGATCCAGATATTTAACCCTAAACTCTATCTGAGTGTTCCTTGTGTAGGACTTCAGCTTCGTCGGGTTTCGGGTTCGGGTTGACCCATGCCCGCAGGCAGAAGCTCTTGATATGATCGTCTTGGAGGCATCCGGGGAAGAGGGAGAATCATGCTTTCGTGGGATTACTTGGAGGTTCATGGGCAGTTAGAGGTGAGGTTATAAGTCCCATAATATGGGGTATAAGTATATATTTGCCCTGCTTATAACTGCCCATGAAACTGCAAGTACGGCTTTGGTGAGGGTGTCTTGTCTCCGATAGCTCTACGTAGCTCCGGGAGGCGAACTTTAACCCTTTGGGGGCGCCGGGTTTGGGCTGCAAACTGCAGTTATTGGGGCGTTAGATTGGGCTCAGCGTGTCAACCTTAAAAGGAGGGACCCTTAATAAGGACCCTGGGTATATACCCTTAATGTAGCTATTATATACCCGCATTATATAGCCCATTTGGTCCAACATTGCCGCATTGCCCGATGACCAAACTGCACGAACCGTCTCCTGAGCTCTCGGAGCAGCTGGGCTCCTGAACCGTTCACCCATATAGTAACCTACATAACTACTATCCTAAACCCGAGTACCTAGTTTTTTCTAGTTTGGGGTCCTTTGGACCCTTAGGGCTATATGAGATGCTATCATGTCGATGCGTCGCCTCCTAAGCCACCAGATTTTGAAGTTCTCGCCGAGATAGGGTCTAGGAGTCTGTAGGCTCCAGTGTCCAGAGGGCTTGGGCCCCATCAGTAGCTTTGTGTTTCTTGTCCGAACCCTGGGGCCCTGGGGGTGATTCCATCCTGGTTCTTGGAAACTGCCGGAAGTCTCAGATGCGTTTTCAGGACGGGCGTCACGCTGCACTCAGATGCGCCAAGGAGGCCATTCAAGTAGGCTTGCTGAATGTTTCGCTTCTCCGAATTGAATTGTATCCTTCATGCGGGAATGCCAGGATACTCTTTCTTGAAGGCTCGACACGGGTAGTAATCAAGGGTTTGATACACATTATTCTGACCTTTTTAGAGAGGCTTTGGCTTCCTTGGGTCTGCAAGGTAGCACGCCCACTAGTCGCCGCATGGAGGGCTTCTCGGATCTGGGCTCGTTTTCGTTTCCATACAAGCAGTGGCCTACTCTTTCTTGACGGGCCCTCTTCACACCAGGTCCTTTACTCATATGCATATACACATAAAAAGGAAAGTATGCGTACATCCATACGTGGACGTGCGCGTGTATGTCTATGCATGGGAAAGTGTGTGTGTGTGTGTGTGTATATATATATATATATATATATATATATATATATAATATATATAGGGCTCAGGATTGCCGGTGAAGGACCGGAACACCTAGGAGCCCCAGAACCGACAGGTTCGCTCATTTTCCACGATAGGTTGGCCTTCGCCATCGTGGCATCGCCGGCGTCGCAAGCTGCGCTCCCGTGGTCGCTTGCGTCTGCGACTCGGCCGTGAGCCTGCTCCGGCACAGAGCTCCCTTTTGCGGAGTCACCACGCAACCAGCGGTTCTTTGCTGCGTCGCCTCATGGGCAGAGGCAGCAAGAACCAGCAGCCATGGGTCGATGGAAATGGATATCGAGTATGGCCTGGTGCATACTCGCCTCGGCAACCTCCGTGGCGGGGGGAGGGACACAAGGGCCATACCGCCAAGGCGGCCTTCCCGACTTATGCCTCGGTGCCGATTGCAAAGGCGAAGGCTGCAGCCCCAGCGGAGAGCTCTACGAGCACCGCTCTGACGGCGGCCGGCTCTACGACGCCCACCCTCCAGGCGGCCCTCAATCATACAAGGAAGGCCGAGTTGCGTGTTTGCAAGCTACGCGACACGCACAAGGCAGCGGGCGAACAGTGGGATGCTTTTCATGCCCAGATGAAGGAGGCCTTCAAGAAGGAGGGACAGCGCTTTCTGAAGGATCAAGCCCGCCTCCAGGAGGAGCTTGCTGCTGCCGAGGCCGCACAGGAGGCGGCACGCACCGCCCTACGGAGGGCCTGGACCGGCGAAGGAGCAGATGCTGGTGCCCCCGGGCCTTATGCCGACGACGACATGGACACGGACGAGCTCTTCGCTGGCTGGGTTGTGGAGGAGCAGTCCACGGCAGATGCGGTGCTTCAAAGGGCCATGGCACAGTCTGTTGTTACGCCGGTACGGGCACCCACAGCTGCTCCTCGCACGCCGCAGTCCCATTTTGGACACACTGCCCCGGGGGCCAGTCCCCTCGCTGGTGTTGTGATGGATCCGTACATGGCACACTTTGCCGGTGGGGCACCTCCGGGCTTTGGGCTTCCTATGGGGTGCCCTGGGGGCATGGGGGCCTTTCACGGAGGTGCTCCCGGTTTGAGCGTGGCACCTGCGACAGGCCCCGTCGTACATGTTCCCGAGAGTCTCGGTGCACCTCCAGCTTCTGGGCCCGTTGGGCACATGCAGGGCGCAGACCCTGGTTCCTTTGCTACGACAACTGGAGATCACTATGGACCAAGCCCTCCCAACAGAGACAAGCAGAAGAGGCGGAGTGCCTTGGCACCGTTTGGGATTCCGCGAGATCCCCCGGAACCTGGCCACAGGGAACACGGCAGCACCACGGACACAAAGGGCCTCGTCGACGACGATCCCGACGAGGAGTGGGAGGACCGTGCGACTGGACAGGGCACAGCCTCCTACCCCTCCGATGCGGCAGGTGGTGCTGCTGGTCTTCCGGAAGGGGAGTGAGTGATCGACGAGGCTTTGTGAGGCAATGGAGCGCCCGGCCTCACCCCGGCACGCCTGCGGAGCCGTTGGCCCTCCTAGCTTCATTGGGGAAGCTAGGTTGGCCTAAGTTCTCCGGCGGCGAATGCCCTGGTGATGCGGCGCGCTCTTGCGCCAGGCTTCTGAGTGTGGCTGCTGTGAGCGCGGTGTATAGTCTCCTCTTGGACTCTCCTTCTTCCAGAAGCCTGTGTACAGCATTCTTTCTGGTGGAGGGTTTTTTGGGGCACAGGACCGGCTCTGGCTTCATTTCGCGTCGCTTCTTTGCCTCCTCCTCCTTCGTTGCTGAGGGGAGCGCGGTTTGCCATGCTTGGGTTTGGGATGGTGACCGTGCTCTTCCTCCCGTCTCCTCTGTGGAGGGGTCTGCCTGCCTTTTTGGTGGGGAGTGCCCTTCCACCTCGCCTCTGTGCCCGCGCTCCGCGCGCTCATTGCACTCCTTGGGCCTCCCCTCTCCTTCTGGCCTTGCCGTGCCTCGCGCAGTGTGGTCGCAGGACCCTCCCTTACAAGACCTTTGGCTGTGGGCGCTAAATACCTGTATCGGTAGCTCTGGGACAGGAGCCACAGCCATCGGTCTAACATTGCTCTACGGCCTGCCCCTAGGGTTTAGGCCCGACCCCCCTAAGGGTTTAGGCGTGAACGATCCCGCGTCGGCAGGCCCAATGCCCTGCCCTGCAGAGGACCCATTTTTGCCCTTCCGGGGCCCTCTTGCCGACAGACATAAGTCTTCCGCTTTTCCCTTTTTGGGTGCGATATGGACACGTTCAGTCCGTATAGGTTGTGTAGGGATTGGAGCCTTGACTCCTCTCACCTGGGGTCCCCCAGACCGCGGGGCCGCCGTGCTTAGCCCCCCCATTGGAGGTTTGGCCCCTGCCTCCGTCACAGAGTGCGAGCTTCCCTTCCTGAGTCTTTTGACGGGTATGGTTGTTCCGTTTTGCCGGAGCCTTTGCGGGATTTTCTTCTTGGCTCTTCTTAAAGCCCTCTTTTGGCATCTACCCAGGCATGATTCCCCTTTGAGCCGTGCAATGCAGCTGCCTCTGTGTGGGGTACCGCCCCGCATCGTCTGCGGGCTGTGCCATTTCTCACCACGTGAACAAGGGCGGCTTTCCGGCCACCTCCTGCACCATCGATGCCATTACTCAGGCAGGACTAGCAGACCTGCTTCCAAGCGGGGTCTTTCCCGTCTTCTGTGTGCACTGTTTGGCTTTGCCACGCTGCCCGTTCCCGTGTATGGCATGCCATCAGATGCCGCAACCCCCCTGGTTCAGGATCCTGCTTTCGAGAGATTGGAGCCTGCAAACAGATCGCCGGACTGGGTCTTCTTGGAAGGCCTCCCTTCAGCCCCTAGGATTTGGCCCCGGGCCAATGCAGAGGAGTTTCCGGCCGGCACCAGTGTTTATGCGCAGGTTTTGTGTGCCGGGTATGTCACACAGCAGGTTTGCCTTGCCTCACCGATTCCTGTTGATGATGCCGTCCTTTCCAGGTTAGTAGGGGACAATCTGCCTGCCGGCAGTATCCTGTCAGACTGTCATGTCATCCCCACCCAGGTCCAACTGCAAACCTCGGTTTTGTCCTTTTTGCAAGTGCCAACATGGATAGCCTCATCTGAGCAAAGGCTTGTCATCCTGGATATGTCCGCTTTCGGGGAAGCGACTTTTGCTGCCTTCCTTCCGCTTATTGCCTCCTGCTCCGAGCTTGAGCAGATCGCGCAGCAGTATAACCTGGAGCCGTGGCATGTGTACTTAGACGGGGAAGAGACGCCCACGAGGATGCCTCTGCGTGTCGTCTCAGGCTCCGTGCTGAAGTTCCTGCCCCAAGGTGCGTTCCCGATTTGGGAGTCCGATGTTGCCGGCCTCCTTCTGTCAGAGGACTTTACGCCCAGGGAGCCCCCCCAAAGCTCCCCGCTTGACGGACCCCCATCTTGGCTAACACTCAGCAGGAATTCTCTGTGTGTGCTTCCTCTTGAGGACGGCGGGGTGCCTGCTCTCCAAGAGGCTGTGCTGCGGCGCATGCGCTGCGCTGCGGACCTGGTTTGCTTTTTCGAACCTCGAGACCCGGCGCTTGCAGCGTCCGTCCTGCAGGGGGGCCGCCGCGTCCAAGGCATCATTGCGGCCCTTGCTAAGGATGCCATCGGCGAGGCTGCCAATGGGCGGGTGCCTGTCTTCATTGATGCTAGACGCACCAGCCACGGCATTTTTGTTGCCTGTTTGCCCCCGGGGCTACAGCCCCCTAGCGTCGTCCTCGAGCTTCTTGACCCCTGCCTCCCTCGGGGCTTCGTGGCCTATGTCGTCAATGCTAGGGACGGTGACTCCCTCGTTGCCATTGAGGCATGTTGCACCGTGGCAGTCTCCGCGCGGGTTGGGGACTCTCAAGACGGAGTTACACCTCCGCTAGTTGCTGAGAGCGTTGAGTGCACCATCACTTATGAGACCAGGCGCGCGCATTTTGCCATCTTTGCGCCAGACTGCACGCCTGAAATCGTCGATGTTGAGCTTGACTTCCCCTCGGGTGAGGATGAAGCGGGAGACATCGTCTCGATTGTACGCGGTGACGAGGATGCCACCCTCTTTGGCACTTTGATACGAGTCGACCCGCAGCCATGTGAAGGCTTCGGATGCATCTTGGCACTTCCCGCGTGGGCGGGCTCGCGGGTTGTCATTTTGGTCGATAGCCGGTTGGTTGACGGGCGCATCTTCTCCCATGTCATCGATGCCTGGATCCAATGGGGATCCTTTGCACTTCAAGTCGGCCTTATAAGAGTCCTGATGGCCTTTCGGTTTACATAGGGCGGCAACCCATCACCCCAGGACGCCCCCTCACCTTGCAACAAGGTGACCTCGTCACTATTCTGCCTAGAGCGGCTCCGCTACCAGCTCTACACGACTTGCAGTTCAAGCTCAACCGGGCAAGGCTCTGGCATGCCTCACCGCCCGACTTCATGCTTGCTAGCCGCCATTCCTTTCTGCTTCTCACGGATGGTCTGCCTCGACTTGCTCAGATCGACCGCGGTCGAATCCGGGAAATCGACGACTTTCGGGAAGCGGCTGCTGGTGCCCTGCAATGTTCAGCCGACGATCTAACTTGCCAAGTGAGCCGACCTAGAATCACCAATAGTATGCACCTCGGCATCCCTTGTGAGGTTGTCATGTTGGCCACAACGGCACTCAGCCGGACTCCGGTCCCGCCTGGCAGGCCCCTGCCGCCCCAGATTGTCGTTTTCTTTGATTTGAGGGCCATATTGAAAGGCTTCTCTTGGTGCATTCTGCCCAGCTGCCTGCCGCAGCTGCATGACCTTGAGGCACGTTTTCAGGACGGTGCCCCCGAGGGCTTCCAAGTCTTCTTGAATGGAGGTGTACAAGAAAACGTTCGCGGTATTGAGCACCTCAGGATCACCCACTGCTGTGTCTTGGTAGTTGAGTATATCCCAGTCCCGACCGACGGGGCAGGTGAGGACCATGAGTCTTCCGAGGAGTCATCTGATGATAGCTCCTCTGACAGCTCCCCCGGGCAGGGACCTGCTCCGGGCCCGGACCCTGCCGCTGAGGGCGCGCGAAGCAGAACTCCACGCAACAGGATCACCTCGCAGAGTGGTCCGCGCAAGCTCTTCCGTGCACACAGTGCCAATCCCGTCGTCCATCTCTCTGCCGGCCCTGCCGTCGATGCATGCAAGGCGCCTGGTGATCCTCACTCTGGTGTCGGGCCTCTGGCACGTCTAGGGGGTCTTCTCCCCCTGTCTTTGTCTACGATCGGGGTCCGGGGCGCAGCAGGACACGGCCTCCATCCTGTCGTCAGCAATGCCAGGGCTCTAGGCCGTAGGCCTCTTCCTGGGGTTTCGGGTGGCTCCCCACTTGAGGTCCACGTTGAGTGCTCCCTGTGGGCCCAAATTTGTGTCCCACTTTGGCCACATGGCTGCACAGGGTCTGCCTGGGACCTCGCCTGGGCGCCCCGCACGCACAAATGGCTGTCTGAGCCCACTCCTACCACTAGGGCAATGCAGGATTCACTTGCGGCGCTGCGTTACTATGCACCCCTCCTCGGCAGGGGCTGGAGATATGTCCCCAGCCGGCCCTTTGTCACCTTGCGGGATGCCGACCCCAATGATTCCAGCAGTGCTGAAGAGGAAGAAGTCGCTGCCCACTTCGTTGTGCTTGCTCCTGGGTACCTTCCGGAATCTATCCAGCCGACTCTTGAGCTGCCGGCAACAGTGCACGAGGTTTTAAGCTCAGTCAGCCAGGCCAGAAGCCCTGCCGCCCGCGACCGCTTCCCGCTTCTTGCGCCCGCCGCTCCTCAGCCGAGGTTAGGTAGCGGTGTGGTTCTAGCCTTCGCAGAGTGGCAGCTACAGGATAATCTCATCTGTGTGGACTCCTCGAGCCTGGATGGTAGGATTTTTGCTGTGAGTGCGCCTGCCTACCTGACGCGACACCAGCTGCTGGCGCTTGCCAGCGTCAGTGAGCGCATTGGGGCTCTAGTTTTCGTTGGGGTTGATGACGTACCTTTGGCCGACGACGTCTACTTTCACACCCGTATAGGCCTAACTGTTTTCATAGCCCCACCCGACCAAACCGTGCCGGTTGCATACCCCCTGGAACAGGTATTAGCCGCGCGGTTTCCGTGGAGCGGAGAACCAGCTTTCCCCGCCCACGATGCTGGACAGGTTTACTGCCTTGTCCACGATGACTGTGTGATGCTCTTCATCTTGGACCCCCGGCACCCGACTGCATACAGGCGCCAGATAGCCGCCTGTGTCGGGATCCATGAGAACAGACTTCACCTGGTGCCTGCCAGTCGGCGCGTTACCGACGCTACCCTTGATGGCTTATACTGCCGCACGGTCATAGCAGTCTACGAAGGGCGCCCAGGTGACACACGAGCGCCCTGCCTTGTGATCATTGATGCTCGCGCTCTCGCCGCCGGCTTTCCGAGCAAATGAGGGTCAGGTTTCAGAGGCTGAACTCCTTGCATCGGTCGATGTCGATGCCCCAGCTGGCTGGGCCCGGAAGAGGCTCCTTTTGATGTCTCTCCCGGGCAGGTTTTTGTCGTTGAGGTTGTACGGTTGCCCTCTAGGGTGCCTGACCGCACGCAGGCTCTAGGTGACAACCCCGGCCCCACTAGCTATGCGGCACAGGCTCCACAGCCCTCCACGCCTGCTCCATCCGGGGGTCTTCCCACATCGCCCGACGAGGCTGCCCACTCACAGGACCCAACTGTGCCGGTGGACGGGCCGCCTAGCCCTGCGCCGACAGAGGCCGACCCCAGTGGCTCCCCTGAGGACGGCGCGGAGGCCCCTTCTTTCCTTGAGGGTACTTTCGTCATCGTTCGTCAGGCGTTCAGCCCCGAACTTGTTTCGGTTAGGTTGCCTGTCGGCAGCAGCGAGGATGCAGCCCTTGAGGCAGTCAATGTTGCCCGTGCGCCCCTACACAGACAGACCTTTCCCAGAATCTGTGCTGTGCACCCCCAATCCATCCAGGGCGTTGGTGTTTTGCTCGCCGTTCCCTTGTGGATACCAGGTGGAGCGGTTGTTGTTATTGATGCCACCCGTGCTTCCGGCGCCCTTTTTGCGATACACCTGCCTTTCTCTGTTACGCGGGCGGACGTCCTTTATGTCGCCGGTGTCCCCGCCGACGGGGGGTGCGAAGTTTACCATCGTGACCTGCCTTGGCCTGTGCCCCCTGGGCGGCGGATGCAACTCTCACATGGTGATGCCATTGTGCTGGTGCCGGCAGATCACCCCGCTTTCACGACCACTACCCTTGCGGCACTTCTGTGGTCGGACTCCGGCTGGCTTCCTGAATGGGCGCCTAACCTTCCTTTCGAGGATACTGTGTGGACGATGTCTGAGCAGGCCGACTTCTCCTTCCGAGTTGCGGCGGGCAGGCGCGGCCTTTTCCGCGGCGACATTGCCGCCCGTCTGGGTATGCCACCACACTCCCTCATCTTGCATGCGCCCGATCCCATGATCATCGACCACGAGGACCGAGGGGTGCTCTCTCGCAATGTTATTGCTGCAGTCACCCGGCCGGCCGCGCAAGGCACTGAGCCCGCGGGACCGATTTGTTTCCTCGACTTGCGCCCTATGCTCCTGCGACTTTCGTGGTGCCCTTTCTCAGAAGGGCGCCTACCCTTGCAAACACTCCTTCGCCGTTTTTCGGACAGATGTCCTGATGGCTTTGTTTTGTGCCGCATTGACCCTGCTAGAGGGCTCTCTGTCATCCGAGGAGACATCCGGGTCCACCATGGGGAGGTCGTCACCCTCACCTTTCTCCCCGCGGAAGTTGATAGCTCCAGCTCCGGCGGTGGGCCGGGTGGTTCTGGGCCCTCCCTGCCGTCAGGTCCGACCTCCGAGGCCGCCGACGTTGCCAGTCTAGATACCGATGAAGCGGCCGGCTCAAGGGCCACTGGGTCCGTCACCACGTCAACTGGCGCTGATGCTGGGACCGGAGGGGGGCGCCGTCGCGGCGCCATGTGGCCCACTGTCTGCCCCGGTTTACCTTGGCAAGCACCTCCCTTGTGTGTCCTCGGTAACAAGTGCCTCGGAGCCTTGGTCTCCCTCGGTCCTGGTGGCATCCTCCTTTGTGCATCCCTTGTCTTGGGAGCTTGCCTACTGGATTCCAGTATTTCCCTCTGGTGCATGCTTGCGTGCCTGTGGAGGCCTGCTAACCTCGCCACTCCCAGGCTGCCTCTTCTGACCCTTCTTCTTGCTGCCTCTCTGGCTTGTCCAGTGTCAGGTGGTGGACCCACAGCGATGGATCGACCGCCTCGCTGCATTTCGCCGGTCGTGCTAGAGGGCCCTCGTGGCGCCAAGGACTGCAGGCTCAACACGCCGGCGGGGCTTGCACTTCTCGCGCATGGTCGACCCATACCCACCCCTTTGCGCGGGCGTGCAGCACCCCGACCACATGCCGATAACCCGGCTGATGTTGAGCCTACAACAGCTCCCAGCACTGCACCAGCAGTGCCCCCACTGCAGGAACGGGAGGTTGTGTCACTTGAGCCTGTTCAGCCCAGCTTGCACATTGCTCTCAGGACTCGCCTTGCTCAGCTAGAGGGTTCTGAGGTCTTCCGACTCGCCAGCCTACCTTTAGGTTTCAAGGTTGATCATGTTCGACAGCTTCTCAGCCCCCCCTTGCGGTTTGCGCTCTTTGACGACCTGCTGGACGCGGTCGAACCCGAGTCCCGCTGCGGCTTGAGACGCCTGTTCGACAGCCGCGGGCCCTTGCCTGACAAGCTCTTTTGTTTTACGGACGGATCCTTCACTCCGCCTGTTGCAGGGGCTAGGGCCCGTTGTGGATGGTCCCTTGTGCTCTTCCATCCAGCCAGCCTTACCCTCAGCATTTTGGGGGGACCTCTCCCCGATTGGGTTCTGCACAGCACCCTTCCCTCGGCCTTCGCTGCCGAGTGCACCGCGTTGATCGCGGCGTTGTGGATCTTGCCCACAGCCTTTTGGGGATACACCATAGAGGTGCTTAGTGATTGCCAAGCAGCCTTGGCCATCGCCAATGGCAGCCATGCCTGTTCTACGCACATTGGCCAAGCTCTACGGCACGTTGCCTCTTTCGCCTTTTCGCTCCTATCTGGTCGCCTCTCTGCTGCCTATGTCAGAGGCCATGCCGGCATTTTCGGCAACGAGGCTGCTGATCAGGTTGCGAAGCTGGTTGCGGAAGGCCGGACTTTGGGGCACCTCCCTTGGCCGAGCTGGTCGGACTTTGACTGCTGGTCGTCTGGAGGGAAGATGTGGTCGTGGATCGGAGTGGTCTGCCAATGGCTCGCCGGAGATAGCGCTTTACCCGATTTCTTGGGTGGGGAGCTCTGCATTGGTCGCGATGTCATCCCGGCCGATAGGGTTAAGCTGCTGAAACCCTTCCTACCCGCCCAGCCATGTGGAAGCGGCACCTCGGCCGATTTTGGGGCAGACTGCCACTGGGCCCCCTTCTCCATTCGATTGGCCACTTATAATGCCCTTTCCCTGGGGGGCCGACATGGCGTCTCTGATGTTGAGGCGTGCCCGGCAGGATTGGCACATCAGCCAGCCCGCCCTGCCCTTCTTGCCGCTAGTCTGTCTGCTGCAGACGTTGACATTGGGGCCATCCAAGAAGCCCGTACCCCGGCGGGTATGGTCCGTACCGGGGGTTACCTCCGCCTCTGCTCTGGTGCATGTAATGGCCATTTAGGTGTCGAATTGTGGATCCGACTAGGGCGTCGTATTTTGCAGGGGTCCCTAGCCAAGGGTCACGAGGTGACATTGAGTGAAGAGCAATTCCTCGTCCTCCACCGGGATGCACGGATCCTAGTTGCCTTATGTCAATGCGGCTTTTCGGTCGTCTTTGCCGTCCTACACGCCCCACACCGGGGCACCGAGCATCACCTGTTGGACCAATGGTGGGGGCAGGCAGCAGGTGTGCTTCGCAAGTTGGTAAAGGGCAGGCCTTTGATCATCGCCGGAGACTTCAACGCTAGTGTGGGTACCCAAGTGTCTTGCCATGTCTCAGACCTTGCGGCGGAGGAGCAAGACCTCGCTGGCGAGTTTCTTCATCGAATCCTAAGGGACCATCAGCTTTGGATTCCAGCCACTTTTGAGGGCGTTCATCAGGGCAGCAGTTGGACCTTCGCACAAAAAAGGAATCAGGCCCTCATTCGCCCGGACATGATCGCTCTGCCCTTGGCATGGCGCCAAGCCAAGGTCGCCAGCAGTGAGTTGGCCGACCTGGAGAGGGGCACCCTCCGTCCAGGTGAACGCCCGGGGTCACTGCTGCGCATGGTGTCGTCGACCATGTGGCCGCCATCGTGTCTGTCAGAATGCAGGTCTGCTGTTCTAAGCTCGCCCCGCGATGCAAGGCCCCTGGCCGCGTACCGGCTTCTGTTGGTGACCCTGCTCTTAAAAGTGCGGTTAGTGGGGTGCTTGCCGAAGTACCCAGACCTGAGTGGGGCGACTGCAACCATTCACATGCAGCATCGGTTACCGGCTTCCTGCAGTCAGAGCTACGGAAGGTCGCCGCTGACCCACCTCGGGGCCCTACCCACCCGTACCTCAGTGCGGCCGCCTGGGACCTCCATGCACAGGTCGCCCGTCTCCGGCGCCGTTGCGCCAAGATCCGACAGGATTCGCGTTTCCATCTCCTTTTCGCTGCCTTTCGAGCCTTGCGTGATGGGAGGGGCGACGCTTTGCATGACATGCTTGAAGGGCCATGGACACTCACAGCGCGTGTTGCAGGCACCGTGTCTGGCCTCCAGCTCCGTGTCCTTGGCAGACGCCTTAAAACACAATGCAAAAATGATCGTGCCAGGTACGTCGAGGGCCTGGCGGACGCCGTGCAGTGCAGTCAGCCGGGCGCGGACGCCGCCTTGCAGCGGCTACTCTGCCGACGACGCAAGAAGGCCTTTGCACCGGCCGTCTTGCCAGAAGTCCTGGATGACGGCGGCAAACCTTGCGACACTCCGCATCTGGTCCAGCGGCGGTGGCGAGAGCACTTCAGCGCCATGGAAAATGGCGTGGATGTCTCCGCCCAGGACTTGAGCGCTCTCGCCACGGCGGCTCGGGCTGTTCTTCCGATGCCAGCCCATGTCCACGACCTCCCTTGCCTTGCAGATCTGTGCCAGGCCTTTGCATCCACTCAGGTGGGCAAGGCAGGGGGCCCCGATGGCCTCCCTAGTGCCTTAAACGCTGCCTTTCCAAGGCAGCTCGCCCACATCTGGTATCCAGTCCTGCTGAAATTCTGCTTGCTTGGTGAAGAACCTTTGGGTTTCAAAGGAGGTGTCCTTACACACCTCTATAAGGGCCGGGGTTCGGTTTCGTCGTGCGATTCCCACCGGGGAATTCTCTTGCTGTCAGTCATCGCCAAAGCTTTGCACAGGGCGCTGCGGCCTGCAATCTCCCGACATTTTGAAGCCGTCGCACACCCCCTCCAACTCGGGGGGCGTCGCGGAGCATCGGTGGTTTTCGGATCGCACATCGTGCGCTCCTTTTTGCGCCACCGTAATGCGGCCAAGCAATCTACGGTGATCGTCTTCTCAGACGTGGCGGCAGCGTATTATCGCACTGAGCGTGCCCTGACAGCTAGCGGACTGCATAGTCAGCCTGCCGCAGCTCCACCGGGTAGCACCGAACTTGACTTGGAGTTTCAGCTGGCGCAACCGGCCGCCCTTGCACAGCAGGGGGCGTCCGAGTGGCTCCAAACGGTCACGCATGAAATACATGCGAACACCTGGATGACTTTAGCTCGTGATGCTCAGATCGTCCAGACCCGTCGAGGCACTCGGCCGGGCTCTGCGTGGGCAGACCTTGCCTTTGCTGTCTTGGCCCAGAGGATCTTAAGTGTCCGCGATGCTCAGCGTTCCCCAGCCACTGTCGAGGCGGCAAACAGCCGCATCTTGTGGGACGGTGCCCGACACTGGGGAGAGAGCGTCGCCCTGCCAGCCGAACACACAGAGACTAAGCTCGCTGATGTTATCTGGGCAGATGACTTTGCGAGTTGCTTGGGGCCCCCTTCAGCCCTTCGGGTACGCCCTGTCCTGGCCAATGAAGCAGGAGCTTTGGTTGACGCCTTTGGCTCACATGGATTTGAGCTTAGCTTTGGCGAGCGCAAGACCGCTGCTTTGGTCTCACTTCGTGGAGCCGATGCTCGCCGAGTCAAACGCGAGCTCTTTCGAGGGGACGCTACTGTCCCTGTCTTGTGCGAAGGGCGGGGACATGCCAAGTTGCCCCTTGTACCTGCTTACCGCCACTTGGGAGTCACCATTGACCCTTCGGGCAACATTGCAGTGGAACTGAAGCTTCGTTGCCACCATGCGTGGGTCGCTTTCAGAGAGAACCGCACCAAACTCTTTCGTTGCAAGCGCATCTCGCTAATTAGGCGGGGAGCGCTGCTCCGGACTTTTGTGCTCTCACGTTTGACTTTCGGCGCTGGGGCCTGGCCACCCTTGCGTGTATGCGAGTCCCGTGTTTTCTCTCGCACTCTCTTCGCCTTGTATCGGGCAACTCTAGCCGTTCCTAAGGACGGTGACCAACACCTGTCTACGGCTGAGGTCTGTTCGTTGGTCGGGCAACCGGATGCTGACACCGTCCTGCATGTCGAGAGGCTCACTTATCTGCGCCAGCTTGTCGCGGGGGCCCCGAGTGAGCTGTGGGCCTTGGTGCGGCTCGACTTGCCGTACCTCCGAGCCCTTCAAGCCTCGATGGCCTGGCTTTACTCCTGGGTGCATCGCACGACCGACCTGCCGTGCCCCAATGCAGAGCCTGAGCCATGGACTTCGTTGATGCGCCAAGCACCGGGCCGCTTTAAGGGGCTAGTGCGACGGGCCAGGGGCCTCGCAATCCTGAGGGCCTCCGGTTATGCTACTTTGCGGGCGCTCCTCCGTGGCCTTCACGCCCTCGAGGGCGCGTCCATTGCGCCCTCTGTCAACCGCGGGGAGGTCTTTACTGAGGCATGCTTGGTTTGCGGGATTGCGTTCACTTCCAGATCCGCCTGGGCTTGTCACGCCTCAAAGAAGCATGGTTACCGACTCGTCACCTCCCAGATGGCCGGCACCAACGACAGGCTGTGTCTGGGATGCGGCAAGTGCTTTGCAAAGCCGGCCCGGCTCCGCCGGCACCTCCTCAGCAGCGTCCCCTGCCGGAAAGCTTGGGGCTCTTTCCGGCCAGACTCTGCGTCCCTTCCGGCTATGCATGCCCTGGCCCTCCCTCTTCGAGTCCCAGGAGTTATGTCTGGAGGTCATGCTGTGATTGACCCTGCTACTTATCATAAAGGACTGCTGGAGGTTTTGCAGGCGCTCGATTGCGCTGACTGCGACACGGCTTGGGGTGTCATCAAGGACTTCATCGAGCCCCTCTCCGTCCTTCGAGCCACGGTCGACCTATGGGCGTCCACGTCAGGTGCAGCCCCCGGTGTGGCAGAGGTAGCAGCGGACGTGAAACTCATGCTCGATCCACAGCTGTGTTGCGATGACTTTCGAGCTTCTCGCGCCAACGGTGGAAGCGTGGATGTCTTCGAGGCGCTCGACTGGAGGCCGACGTGTCAGCTCCCTTTCGTCTTGACTGGGGAGGTTGCCGCCTTCAGCATCGACGATCCCCCGCTCCAGGGATACACGTATCCCTTCACCTGCAGCTTGCCTCTGGCCGCTGCGTCGGAGTTTATGCGCTGGCTTGAGACCAGTTGCGATATTCTGGGGACCTTCGCTCAGACCTCTGCGGCGCACCCTGTGCGCCTCCGTGCCTCTGCCGTGGCACTGGCGGCGCTTGAACCTGCTGGCGCTTGGCTCCTGCGGGCGGGCTTCGTACAGACCGCCTCGGGCCTCCGCTCGCCGGGTTCCTGAGCCCCAGTTTATTTCCGTCTCACCGAATTTGTCTGCATGTGGCGCGTTCACCGAACACAAGCCATCCGAAAGAAAGATAGATATATATGTATGTATGCATGTACGTATGTATGTATGTATCCATATGAGGATGTATATGTATATCTATATGTATATGTACATACATACGCAGAGATGTATATGAACCAACATATTTGGATGTATGAATCTCGCCGCAAAACCCTCAAAACCCTACAGGGCGCAAGAGTCAGGAGCCACAAGTTCTTTCAAGCTTGCTGCTCCAAGTCCCCGTGGGGATAGTCAAAGCCTCTTTAGGGCATCTTGAGACTATAGAGCCGCTATGGCCCTCGGAGAAGGTACTCAGGCCACAATATGCGGAATCGATCTTCACAGATTATTGGTAGACGTTGGTTCGTAAACTCAGGACGCAGGCCGCCCATCTTCAGGCCCTTGACCTCGATGTCAAAATCCTGAGACCTCAAACTTTAAACACTAAACCTTGAACCCCTCAACCACAAGCCCTGAACCCGAAAGCCTGCATGGGCCCTTATGCCTCCTGGCCGGGCAGAAGTTCCTTGTTTTTTAGTTGGGCGAGGGTTCCAACTTCCGAAACCCCTTGTAGTTTTAGTTGTTTTTCGATGACCCGTGGGCTGCGCCTGAACTTGTTTGTACGAATTGCCCGATATAAATCGCATATGAAGTCCTGTCATGCAGCTTGTGGGCCAGTACCACAACCCTACGTGCGCCAGTCCCTGGACCTGAATGTTGGAGCCCCAAATACTGTGTTGGGTGAGTGCTTCTTTGGTCATACTCTCCCCTATATATTCCTTATTTCACGGTAGCAGTAGCAGGCGTATCCGAGTGTATCCCTTGCAATGAAGGGCCCCGATGCCTTTGATGCAGAGGTGGCCATCGTCGATCTTTGGTTTCTGCCTCGGACAGCTTGGTTCTGGACTTCAGCGAATTGGGCCTGAGAAGTGGAGTAAATGGCAAGGTGTTGAAGGATGAAGGGTTTAGGAATTTTGGGGGTCTGTGCCATAACCCCCTAAATCCTCATCACAGAGTACTACAGGGTCCTCAGTAGTGACCTATACTATTCTTTCTTTTGGGTGGGTTCTTTATTATGCTACAGTATATTGGGCCCCAAAACCCTTTCAAGTTATAAAGGCCCCCATATTACAAGATTCCGCGTCAAGGTTTGGAGATCTGATCCGGGCTTGCTGCCTTCAGAGCTTGGATCTGACGACCTGTGGAGTAATCAAGGGGGGTTCTGAAGCATCGGTGCTACGATCCCCTTACCCTTACAGTCCCTATGCCACCTTTATCATGAGAATCTTTCCAAAGCCCTTCTCTTTTCATCAGGGCCCTCATCCTAGGCTTCGCGCGAGCCTCAGCTTTTGAAGTGCAATCCTGAAGCCATAGAGCCCGCAAGCCCTACGCCCTTAAACTTATAAAGCTAGGCACCCAAGCTCAGAATCCTGAACCCCCTGAGACCCTAAGCCCTAAAGATCCCTAAAGCCTACGAAGCCGAAAGCCTAAAGCCCGAAACCTGACGCCCAGGACCGGTCGAAAGCTTCCCTCTTTGCCCTCCGCCTGCGAGCGCTGCGTCCGTACCTCAGGGGGAGGCTTCAGTTGTCGGCCCGCTCTCTTTCCCTCATAACTTTACCGTATCTACCTTATATATGTATACGCGCACACACATATAATATGCATATATATACACACACATAGAAGTTGATAGATGGTGATAGATGGAGGGATATATATATATATATATGTACACATACATACATATAGATATATATATATATATATGTATATCAACAAACCCGCATCCTTGACGAATATCCTAGACCCTAAGTCCCCCAAGCCCTGGCAAAAGCAAGACGAGGTTTCCACATAACGAAGCCTTGAACCCTCAACCAAGAAAGCCCGACCTGAAAGCAGCCGTAGCCGAGGCCAGCCCGTCGCCAAGAGGCGCTGTCATCTCAAGGGATAGGGTTTGGGGCCATGATTTATCCAACAAATGCAGGAACAGAGCCCTTTATCAAGGTTCCGGTCTTCCGGCTTTCAGTGTCCCGGAGGGGGGTCTAGCTGAAGGGTTTTGGATTCAGCATTTCGGACTTAGGGTTTGAGGGCTTCGGCATAGGTGATGGCAGTGAAAATCTTCAAACGTGTAGTTTGTAGGGGGCCGACTTCTTCCATACCCTGGACAATGTAGCCTCAACACTCAATATCGAAGGATGTTCAATCCTGTGCCAGCCTGTCTCCCAGCCGCGACCCTCACTAGCTCGAGCTTGCAGTAGCACCACGGTATGGGAACGAGTGATCCGGAGTCGCAGCTCTCAGACATTCTCAGACCATCCGAAACCTTGCATGGTCGGTGCTGAGCCTTCCTAATGGTAGTCGTATCCTGAATCATCTTAAAAATTCATGCTTCAGGTCACGATTGCCCATGCCTCGAACGAGCTGAGGTCGAGAGTGCTGGGGCTCTCCGGTTCAGGGCTTAGGATTCTGCTGCAAGGTGGGCGCAGATGCCGGCTCGCCACGCAGGGCCTGCGTGATTTGGCCCTGTGGAGGCTGGAAGTGCTGAAAGCCACTGACAAGATCCTCTCGTGATCGGGTTTTCGAGTTCGGACGGATACCTGAAACCATGCGTATACCTGAAAGTTTAAGACTTCTGGGTTCGGGGTCTAAGTTTAGGCTGAAGGGGTCAGGGCTTTGTTGCAGATGGGAGGATATATGCAATTCAGGGCGGGGGGGGGGGGGCGGTCGCAGTTGAAGAACTGTTTTGCTTGGGCCCGATTTGCATTCTATCTGTCAACTTCTCGCACTGTCTTACAAGCAGGCCCCTGCTGCCCAATCCTAGACCCGGTGCATCTGTCTTAGCAGGACTCCAGTCGAAAACACCCTTCTCAAGAAGGACCTGTAGGAGCTAGAGGCTACGGAAGCCTGGTTCTTGGTCTTCGAACAGCAAGACAAGAACGGCTTCTCTCATCGCACATTGCCAGGGCTTTGAGGAGCATCCACGGTCTTCTGCGCCGTTGTGCCGCTTCCACAGTGTATGCCTTCCCAATGAAGCTTGCTTTCAAACTGAAGGGCCGCGCAGAACCGCACTTTGCCCCTTGGCGGCGTCGCATCACTTGTGGTTGGCTTGCGCCGAGCAGCTGCCGATGCCGATGACGCCATGGAAACATGCAAAACAATGGGTCATGGCAAAAACTCAGGCCCAATGACAGTCCCTGGTTTGTGGCTTCCGGCTCAGGATGGTGTATTAGGATTCAGGGTATTAGGGTATTAAGATTCAGGGTATTAGGGTTTGGGTTCAGGATATTGGTTTTGGGCTATCCAGGTTTCGGGTTTAAGGTATGCGGGTTTAGGGTTGAGGGTATCAGGTCATTGAGGTTCAGGCTATTAGGGTTTTGGGTCAAGGGTAGCTTCTGATCGCAAAGCACATCACAAACCTTCATCCGAACCCCACATCTCGTACTTCTTGTGGTTCCTGATTATGGTTTCCTTGTTTAGGTCCTGAAAAGCGTAGATTCTTTAGGGTCCAGCTACGCCTCTAAGGAATGACAAGAAAGCCTTGCGCTTTTATGCCTCAAGCAACCCATGAGACTCGTTGCGCGAGGCCTTGCGCGTTGGCGTTGGAGGCCTTTGAAGCTTTGCCTCCGGGTCTCCGGGCTTACCTAGAGGGTCATATTCATAGCCTAGCCTAGCCCCTTTTTGGGGGTACCCAAATTTTATGGTCAGGATCTGTTATATTTGGAAAACTAAAAGGGTAGAGTATCATCCTAAAAGGTGGGGATTTGGGGATTCAGCATGCCTTCCTTTGGGTCTCGGGCGCGCGGTGTGGGTCCAGGCTTTGCAAAGCTAAGGCTTGGGAGCTGGGATGCCGCATTTCGGGTGCAGGGTTCCGGGCTTAAGGCCGAATGTAGCGGCTATTTTTACCCACACTATTCTGGGGGGTTCCTCATGATATTAATTATAGTATAATGGAGTCCAAAACCTTATTCCCAAGCCCGAAGCGTCAGGCACTAAACTATCATTGATACTAGCCTTCCCTCTCTATTCCTTCTAGCCACTTCATAATGTACGTATTGCCTTTCTCTTGTATGTATGATCTTCGACTATGATATACATTAAGGCCCCTAAACCCCTGGATCTAAAAGATCGGCCTTCTTGGAGATGCAATAAAGGTGAACTCCAGACTCCTAAGCTCAGAATAAACCTGAGGCCCTTGATAGTACAGATTTAGGGGCCCTTACCACTCATGGCACGGTTCTAGGACACTTTGCAGTGTATACGCCCCGAAAACCTGATTGTCTCAAAGCCCAAGTGCTGAGCTCCTGAAACCCGCAAATAACCTGCACTGACGATGAGATATGTCAGGTTTCTGTACAGGTACGCTTGTCTCGGAGGAAAACACCGAAGACTGACAGTAGACCCGACATAATACGCCTCTATGATATCCTGAACCCCAAACGATAGATAGTACAACCCTCAGCAATACCTAACTACATAAAATACACCCAAAACCTTTGATTGATAAAGCACGCTCTTCTAGGAAAATACCGAGTCCAGCCTGCGTCTCAAAACACCACTTGACGTGTGCACCTGCCTGAGCATGTATATACATATATATATATATACATCTACATATGCATATATCTATATCTATATCTATATATATGTATATATATATATATATATATATATATATATTACAGTTATACATTGTGCAGTGTTTAGAACAATGCACGGTGATATATCAGGATGTAGGATATATATATATATATATATATATATATATATATATATACACACATATTATTGCTCATCCCTTCAAGATGCTGCAAGGTACCAATATATACTGCACTGTACAATATACTGTTCGTTAACATTAAAGCCTTTAAAATGCGAGAGTGAACCTGAGATGCGAATGTAGGAGGGCCTGAACAAGTAGCAATAGTATCCCATCTATCCATATGCATTATAGG